ATGTAAATCCCAGGTCAGTGAGTCAGTTAAGCACATGCCTAATGTAAAGCTTGAAGGAAATCCTGCTAATAACTGGGCTGCTTGCATATTTACAGTTAGACATGGGCTTAAGTACCTGGATGATCTGGAAACACCCCATAGCCCCCGGAAAAGAGACTAAAACAGGCTGGTCTGTGAATTAATCACAGTGGTATGAACAGAACTGCTAATATTAAACTAGGGGGGGACTCTGTGCGTGTGTGTGTCTGCGTGTGTATGTGTGTTTAAGCATCTGTTCAAGTTTAGGCATATAAAACATTTTTCAGCCCAATGACTCCATAGGGAAATGCCTCATACATCAGCTCATCTGACTCAATTTTTCCATCACATTTCCCCTAATACAGTTTTGTCCATAAATACACTATTCATTTTTTTCCAAATATAGATTTTTATTTATAGTCAGAAAACACTGTAACTTATTACTTAAAGCCCTGAGTTCTTCTTTGAAATGTAATCATTAAGGAATTATTAGCCAATAATGAGGTATGTAACTAAGTTATCCCCTTTTGCAGAAGGAAAAGGGAGGGGTTTTGGTATAACATTTACCATTCTCAGTATTTCTTTCACTAGAAAATACCTAGTAACATCGTAACTGCCCAGCCATATACTGCTGTATCTCAACTGAGCCCACAGCACATCCACGACCTTTCACCTTCAGTCTTCATTTGACAGAAAAGAAAGCCAAGTTTTTAAAAATCCTGGTCAGACCTTCCAGACAGCCCACAGTCTCAGGAGAACCGTGCATCGCTACCCAAGCAGCAATACCATATTTATAGCATGTAGTTTATAGTGATATTCATATTTATAGTATGAGGAGGTCTGAAAAAGAAATCTAACATTGCCTTCTTCCTCTTCAAGGAACATTTTGAAGATGAAGATGAAGATTTTTTGTGGCTTTTAACAGAAAGCGAACAGCCTACCAAAACCATGACAAAGGCCCTTGAATAGATAATTCAGACATTTAAGAAGTATGGGGTTTTTGCAGAGGCAGAGTTTAGACATTGAGCAATAATGAACAGAGCAAGTAAAATGGAATTTAACAGGATTTGACAATTATTAACCACAACTCAAGTCAAAAGAAAGCAGAGCACATTATTACGTGGCATGAGTATGGGACAGTGGAATTCCACTCCCGCTGCTCGCAGGAAGTGCGAAGGCTGGCTGGAAAGGCAAATAATGACATGGGGTTCTGCAATAAAATACTCATTCACAAAGCACAGCAAACAGGATTGTTTCTCTGCATGGAAAGTGCAGCCGCCCTCGAGGGGCTGACTGGGTTGTGGTCCAGTGACCAGTTTTTGGAGGCACATCTGTAACTTGGGGAGTTTTCCTGTGCGCTGGGCAGGGATGCTAGGAAGGAACGTGCTTCCCTGTACAGGTCAGCAGGGCTAAAACAGAGCAAGCATAAAAAGTAGGGAAAATTAATGGAACTTGTTTCAGTGGAATAATTTACTTCCTATTAACCAGATTAAAAATAAATAAATCTGGAGCGCAAACTCCATAAAGCACTTTGTTGAGTGGCAGCACAAAAAACAAAAGCTGGAAACAGAGTGGGAAGAAAGGATCACCTTCCTCCTAATGAGCCAGCAGCCCCCACCCTCTGGGGCTGCAGAACGGCTGCAACAAAGGGGTCCATTATCTGCAGAGGTTTTTACTCCAGCGATCCATTCCCCTTGTCCAAGTCTGCGCTGCTGCTCAGAGAATCCTGTCTGAGCAATAAGGCCAAGGCATAAATGCTGTACCCACTGCAACTCGCTCTGCACTGCTGACGTTTAAAAAAGAGATGGTGAAAATCTGAAGTGGTGTTAGGAAAGAGCAGCAAAATTGCCCCCCACCCCCTTCCTGGCTCGATGCTAATAGTGAGGCTATGCTCTGATTTCATCACTTTTTTTCATAACTTTTATTCTCAGCCACGCAGCCCCTCGCAGGTACCCAGGACTGCAGGGCAATGCTGGCAAATCACTAAAATTCAACCTGATGAGCACAGTCTGCCTGGGGTGCCCCGTTGCCGGCTCACACACCCCCTGTTGGGTTTAGCAGCTCTCAGTTGAAAGCTCACCAGACTATAACAAGTCCTTGCTCTCCAGCGTCGTGGCTTGGGCAAAAAAGAAGCGTTGGCCGTGCTGCGAGCGCCTGCTGGCTCCAGCCTCGCCAAGAGCAGTGCCCGAGGCACAGGGGCTGAGTAACCCAGCCCATAACGTACCCAGTGCAGGTGCTTCCGGATGAAACGACTCCTGACAGCACGGGTCTGGGGCGCTTTGGTGGTCCCAAGTGGGTGAATTACACCCACGTACAATTGCAGGCACTGCAAGCAAAAAGTGATGTTTCAGGAGAGTTTGTGTTTTTTCTGGACTCGCAGGAGTTGCTGGCAGTCAGTAAATTACTAAGTCAACAAGTCTGCATGTTAAAATTCATGGCAAACTCTCCATCAGTGATTAGATTCCACAGCTTGCCTTTGTCATCTATAAAACCATACAAAGCCAGAAAAGACCTTTTAAGATAAAGGTTCACCTAAGCAACACAATTCCCAAACCTATTACCTTCTGAACCACAGAAAATTCTTTACAAAAACTGTGCCTACAATTAAAACTCTTCAGTATGTACTAAAATCTTTGGACTAAAACCATTGCTAAATTCTTAAAATCGGTCTAAACTTCTCTAGCACCTGATCGTTGCCTTGCTACGCCTTTGTCCTCACAAACTGTGAACAAGTTTTCTTTTAACCTTCCCCCTGTTAAGCGAGGGACAGGACCACTGGAAGTCCTCGCTGTCGGGCATTTTCCAACCCTTCTGGGGCTCTTCTCTGACTCGTTCAGAGCGAGCCGCCGTGCTCTCAGTCTAGACTGTGACCCTGATTTTTCATTTATTTACTCATATTTGCATCACCTGCAAGTTATCTGTGATGACTTGGATGTTTGCTGTGAATAACCGGCAAAAATAATCCCTAATGAAGGGCTCAGAATGGGTACCAGGGGAACCCATCTAGAAAACAGGTATTCCATGACAATTCCTCACTTACAGTCATGCATTCAGAACTGAGTTGCCTTAAAAAACTCAAAAATCTTGATGTTGTTGCATCAATTAAGAAACCTGAGGTTTTTAAATGAAAATGTTGTCTATTAGCAATAACTCAATAGTCCACTGCATCAGTGGTTAACACCAACTTGCGATTCTGGTCTTAAAATTACTAAAGGTAGTGCCTCTGACAAGGGTACGGCCAGTCATTAAGGTTTTTTTAATAGTTTTCTCAATTTAAACTGATCTAAAACTTGATAAATCCAGTTTTAAAAGCCACTGCCAGGATAAGAAACTGGGCGATGAACCCACATAGCCTCAGCAAACAGCAGCTGAACACGTTTTCAACACAGTTGAAAAAACGGAGACAAGTTTCGGGTGATCTAAACGCAAACCCTCGACCTACGTGTCACACGTCCTAAATTATGCTCCTTGCTCGGTTTTGCCCCATCCTTGGCCATTCCAACCCAGAAATGTCAGCCAAGGTACCGCTTCTCGAGAAATACACGGCAAAGGGATCGTTTGCTTACAAGGAGGCACAGAAACGCTCCCAGGGCAGACACCCACGCTGGCACAGCCGGCCCGGAGCAGCAGCCTGCTCGCAGCACAGCACCCACCCCAGCTCACCTGGGCTGCTGCTCCGCGCCCTCAGCCCCTCACCTCGCCGCCTCCTCGGCCGCAGCCCGGTCAGAAGCCCCGGGCCATGGAGGGTCCCAGCGGCACCGACACCCGGGAAATCCCTGCGGTCAGACCTCTCCACCTCAGCGTTACTCCTCAGGACCGTCCTCGTGCGGAGCTTTTGCCGCCGAGCAGAGGGAGGAGGACGGACGCCGAGCAGCCCGATTCGCTCCGCCGCTCCAGGGGCCCGTCTCCCCGCTCAGCGCCCGCGGCCCCCCCGGCCCCGCTCCCGCTCGGGGCCGCCCAGCCCGGA